GCGGGGGGGCGCTCTTCCCGGGGCTGGGCCGCCGGGGGGGGGCGGAGCCGGGGCGCGGGGGGGCTCTTCCTGGAGCTGCCCCAGGCGGGGGGTGGGGTGCGGAGGGGGGCGGCAGGGGCGGCGGGGGGGGTGGGAAGGAGAGCCGGAGCCGGCCCGGCTTCCCCCCCTTGAAGGCGTCTCCCCGCCCGGCGGCTCGCCGGGCTACCCGGGAACAGGCTTTTCTCCTCCCAAACCGGCGGCTGTGGCCCGAGTCCAGCGCGTCTGGCAGCGCGGTGACTAACCGCCCCGGCTGGGCTGGGCTGGGACGGGGTTGTGCAAACAGCCTGCGGGGCTCCGCTGGACCTGCCGCCGGTCCTGGGCCGCCCCCCCCCCCGCCGCCCCCCCCGCCCCCCCCCCCGCCTGCACGCCGGGCCCGCCCCCCCGCCCCCCCCCCCCCCCCCCCCGGGCCATCCCATGCCTGCCCCCCCCGCTGGCAGTGCCCGGAGGAGCCGGTCACTAGCGCAGACCCTGGTCCCCATGGGCGGTTCCGAGGCGCCAGGCGCGCTGCCCCCCTTCTGCGCCCTTGTCTCTACCTGCCTCCGTCCCTGGCCCTGCGGCCGACACTAGTTACAGCGAAGGAGCCTTTTCTCCTTTCCCGTGTGCTGTCTGGCTCTTGCCCCGACTGTGTGTGGCTCGGGGGTTTGGCTGCTGCCTGTCACGGGGGCATCTGAACAGGCCTGTGCCCTTCTCCCAGCCTGCCTGACCCAGTGAACCAGATGCCATTGGAGTCCTGCAGGAAGCCCTCACTCGGATCTGCATGTCAAGGGCCTGCCTGGTGGTAGTGGGCAGTGGGTAGCTCTGGTTGTGTGGGGGTGCTGCCCTAGCTGGCAGTGCGAGGTGTTAGCTTCAGTACAGGGGTGGGGGGCTGGGAACGGCTGTGCAGCTCTTCCAGTGCGGCAGGGACATCCCCCCCCATCACATCCTCCACACAGATCCCGGAGCACAGAGCCAAGACTCCTGCTGCAGCCTGTGGCAAAGGGCCCCGCTCAGGCATGTTGTCCTGTCGGCTCGGCTCAGCCCAGGCAGGGGGGGAGGGTTCAGTCTCCCCACCTCTTCCTAACCCTGCACATTCCTCTCCCAGTCCCCTGGAGATGGGTTTTAAGCTGCAGCTGGACACCTTGGAGGGGAAGGAAGTGGGGCCTGCTGGCGAGGGGGTCTCTGGAGTGGGGGGAGCAGATCGGGTCTGAGCACAGGTGGCTACTGTGCTGTCCCAAGGCAGCTCCTGTGGGGGATGAGGGATCCCAGCCCAGAGTGCTGGTTTTGTGTGCGTGTTTTATGGGCCAGCGCAGGGAATGTCTGATATGCAGTCGCTCTGGAGTATCCCGCCCAGCTCCCAGCCCGGATGAGCAGCCAGAGGAACATGCCGGTGTCATCTTACATGCCTTATATAGCCTGCAAGCTGCTGGGGAGAGCAGCAGGATCCTGCCCACCACCTACCCGCGGGGGTGTGGAGCTAGATTTGGGGGCTGAGTCCCTCTCCCTGGGTTTGGAGGGAGAGGAGAGGCCAGAGGCCTTGCTCCAGCTCCTGTCGGATGAGGTTGGTGGTGACTCCTGGAATTGAGCAGGGTTGGGGCTGGTCCTGGACCCCTGGCTGGCAGCTGTGCAGGGAAAGGCTGTCCCTGTGCACACTGGCATACGGGATTGCTCTTCTCAGCTGGCTGTTGGGGTGAAGTCTGTCTCCCCCCGTGTCTGCCTGACCTCAGCATTGGGGCTAGTGGGTGTCAAGCAGGCCCCCTGGCAGTGCTGACTTGCCCAACCAAAGGGTTTCCAAATGCTGCTGTCACTGCCCGAGTCCTGAGTAGCCTGTGGCTTGGTGAGTACCATGGGCACCTGGCTGCAGGGACAGTGGCTTTGCAGCTGTGTGCTCGCTGCAGGGGTGTGTGGCTGGATGCACAACCTGCTCAGTGCCTGCCTGTGACGGGGCGGGGGTGCCCTCGGACTCTGGGCCGAGTGCTGGGGGAGGGTTGGATCCTCTCCCTGCGATGGATTGAGTGAGCTTGGGATCTTCTCTAGCAGTGTCACTGGGGAATCTTGCCCGTGCTCCCCAGGAGTAGCCATGGGGGCAGAATGTCAGTAGGTAGTTGGGGCTGGTCCCCAGGAGAGAGCGCCCTGCCCCCCTTCTCTGCTCTCCTCTCCTTGCTCCTCCTATGCCTGAATCTTCTCTTCTCTCTTCAGAAATGAGCAGCATGGACTCCTATAAAGTGATGCTGGATGGGCCGGCGCCCTGGGGGTTCAGGCTGCAGGGGGGCAAGGACTTCAACATGCCCCTCTCCATCTCCAGGGTAAGAACTGTGGCAGACAACCTCTGCACCAGCCATGCTGTGGCTTCCCTCTCCCCCTACCCGGAGCTGTTGGGGGGGCGCTGCTGCGGTATTTGGCTGCATTGCCCAAGATAAGCTGAGGTCCCTGCATCAAGGTGCCTCCATCTAACAAATGCCCCCTGAGCAATGGGGGGCAGAGGGATGCCCTTCTCCTGTGTCACACTGGGGGCCGGGGATGTGCCGCCAGTGAAGGGCCCTGGGCACAAGGGAGCTGTGGAAGTAGGAGGTGCCATCTGCGCTGTGTGGAGGGGCTGGTTGGCCATTGTCAGGACAAGGCTCTTCTCCCAGACCTGCTCCCATCTGTCTGGTGGGGGAAGGGGCAGCTCCCCTCCTGGAGCCCTTCGCCTGGTCTCTTCCCATCGTGTCTAGGTTCTGCTGTCCTCAACAAGAGCAGGGATGCTGGGCATCCTGCCAGTGGGTCAGGGTCTTGGTATGGTGGTTTCCAGGTCAGGCTGATGGTGAGGTCTGTCTTGCTGCTGCCCGTAGAAAGTGGGGCTGCCTTCCTGCTCGGAAGTGAGTCAGTGGCTCCCAGCTGGGCCAGCCTGGAGCTCAGGGGCAGGGTGCTGCTGTGGGATGAACTGTCACCTGCCGTTCTGCTCAGGGGCTGTGCTGTGTGCCAGCCCTGTGGGGTTGGGCTCTGCTCCTGGGGCAGGGCTCCCCACAGCCTGGGGCTGGCCCAGGCCTTGAGATAAGCTGCTGTAGGGCGCTGTGCCTGTTTGTTCTCGGATACTTCTTCCTGGGGACCATCCTGCAGAGCCACCTCCACTCCTGGCTCTTGGCAGTCTCATTCTGCAGTCTGCCCTGGGTCCCCTCTGCCAGCCCCTAGCTCTGAATCTGTACCCTGCAGCGTTGGGTGCTGTGCAGGAGGGCTGTCTCAGTAACATAGGGCTGGACTGGGGGTAGGTGTGCTGCTGGTGACCTCGGAGGTGGGTGAGACCACCCCTCTCGAGCCATGGGCTCTGCCTTAGAGCCATTGCGGGGAGCAGCTGTGCTGGCATCAGGGTGGCAGTATCTGGAGGAAACCCCTTTGGGTATTGGTGCTGTTCCTAGTGGCCAGGTGCCCCCATCCCACCCTGTTTTGTTGGCAGCCATGAGGAAGCCAAGGACTGCGCTCCCCTGTGGCCCAGGCTGGCACGGAGCAGTACAGGGAGCTGGTACTGCTAGGCACCGATTCACAGCAACTGCAGCCTGGCCTTGCCATTCAAGGCTCTTGGGGCCAGGCCCTGCCTCTGGGTGGGGAGGGGTTCCATGGCCTTGCAAGCTGCCCCCCACGGGGTCCCAGTCCTGCCTGGGCACAGGGCGCTCGTGAACCTGTCACTGGATTGTTGGCAGAAGGCCCTCGGTGTGGAATTGCCTTATAAGCCTTGGAATGTGGAGTGTCCGTGCTGTGATGCTGGCGGATGGAGACTTTCCCAACAAGCTGGAGGCAGGAGCAGGCTCTGTGAGGGCTCCCTCCTGCATGCTGCGGCCGTACGTCAGGCAGCCCATGTGCACAGCAGTGAGCCTGCGGTGAGGGTGAGGAGGGGGCTCTGACTGTCTCTGTGCTGCCCCAGCCCTGTGGGGTGCTTGCCTGCAGCCCACTGGCCCCTGCGGGTGCTCGGTAGGCTCCTTGCAGAGACAGCCTCAACTCGTGTTCTAGACAATGTCTCTTGGCTAGCTGCCTGCGCGCACCAGGGCCTGTCTAGGCAGAGGGGTCTGCAGAGAGCCTAGCTGCTGCTTCCTGGAGCCAGAGCCCCCTCCCCACCCGGCTCCCCGTCTGCTCCAAGGGGCCCTGCATGGGAAGTGCTGAGGAGGGCGGCGCAGGGCTGTGCTAGCCAGCACCACTCTGGGCCCTACACTCAGCTCCTCTGCACGCCTGGGGGAGGGGGGTTTCCTGAGCAGCGCTGCCTGACATGAGTCCCTGCTGTTCCAAGGGGCCAGAGGGCCACAAAGGCAAAGCTGCAGGGATCTCTTCCGGCCAGCTTGGAGGCCAGTTCCTGGCTTGCGGTCAGCCAGCCCTAGGGTTTGGGTTATGAGCCCTGGAGAGTGTGGCCCTGATGGAGGTGCAGCTTCCTTCAGGGACATGTTAATCCCAGGCCAGGTGCTGAGGCCCAGACACTGTCTTTGGCAAACTTCCCCCGCGGGCTGGGGGTGCACTGCTTTGCACTGTGCGCTCTGGGCAGCATGTCCAGCTGAGACAGACCCTGGGGAGATTTGCCTGCTCGTCTGGATTAATGCACCTCGCCCGGCATTGGCAGCGATGCGCACACAGCACTCTCACAACTGGCGGGTTTAACTGGACACAGCCTAGGAAGCCCTTAGGAGAGTCCAGAGACATGAAGGGTAAAGCAGAGTCCAGTCTGGCCAGCCCAGAGCCCAGCCAAGCTAAAGGGAACCCCTGGGTTCAAGCTCCGTCTGTCTGAGCTGGGGTCTGACCAAGGAGATCAGATGGAGGGAGAGCCCTGACTCCTTCCAGCAACCCCCCCATCTGCCGTCTCACACCCCTCCAGTCCTCTGATCTCAAACTGGGGGGGTGTGGGGGAGGAGGGAGTCCATCTCCCTCTGGGTTGTTGGTTGCTAGGTGTCAGTGTCCTGGCGAGTGGATTTGCTGTTGTCTTCTCACCCCTTCTCCGGAAACATCCCTGCTCCTCGTCCTCGAGGCTGTAGTGTCTGTACCACCCCATGCCCTGCCCCTGCTCACTGGCTGCCAGCTGGCCCAAGAGGCGGCCTCCACTGGCGCTGACGGGCCCTGTCCAGACCAGCTCCCTCGCTTGGCTTGGCAGCGAGGCTGAAGCTGAGCCTCGAGCAGTTTGCCTAATGGCGCCCTGCCTTGCTCTGCAGTGCCCAGGTACTTCCTTGGCCCCTCAGTGCTGCCTGCCAGCGACCCACCCGTGTGCCCCATCCTTCAGAGCACCCCTTGCCTGTAGCCAGGCCTGGTGCTCCTGGGCCAGGGGGAATTTTTCCACCTCTTGTGGAGAAGCATGACCCCCTTATCCCACCCTCTGCTGAGGGGCTGGTGTGCCTTGTGTTGGGGGGCCCCTTGGAGCCATCCATGGCCCATGCAGCAAGAAGCTCTGCTTTCTCCCTGGGGCTCACTGGGTGCTGCTCTCTTGCTGATGCCCTGTCCCTGTTTCCCCTGGGTTCTGTGACCAGGTGAGCCAGCATTCCTGCTTCTCCCACCTGGCAGCCTGTTGCCCTTCGCAGGCAGCCTGTAACAGAGCCAGTGCCCTGCCAGCGCAGTGACTCCCCAGGCATGGTGCAGTCCCTGCGGGAATCTGGGCAGCAGAGCAGCCATTCACCATCCCCGCACAGTGCGTGGTGTTGGTGGGGTGCAGCCCTGGGGCGGGGGCTGGAGAAGTTGCACTGGGGGAGCTGACGGCCCAGCCGGTAGGGACCAGAGAACACTCATCCCCGTTGGCCATGAGGCCTCCAGTGGCCTGGGGTTCGAGGCCTGTCTGGGCTCACTGACTCACCTGTAGACAGGCTCCTTGAGGGCCTTGCCTGGGCTGACTTCTCTCCTTGCAGTGGGTGGGCTCTGGAGCACGGCCGCTGCACTGGGGCAGCTGGAGGCACGTAGCTCTGGCATGAAGGGAGGTGGGTGCTGCCTCTCCTGCCCCCCACCCCTGGGGACTGCCGGGTCAATGCTGAAGGGGAGAGACTGGGGGAGGGGAATGGGGAGCTGAGCACTTGTTTGATGGGCTTTAGTGCTGCAGGGAGGAGGTGGATGGCTTGTTATGCTTCCCAGTTAACGAGCAGGAGCTCTGGCTTCCCCTCAGGCTGGCTGTGGGCAACTTTGCTGACATGGGAGGCAGCAATAACTGGGTCACAGCCAGGGCTCTGCCTGGTGGCCCCATGCTTACAGGGTGCTCACACTGCACGCCTACCTCCTCCTCCCTCAAGGCAGGCCTGTGGGTGCCTGAGGTGAGGGGCTGGAGGAGCTGCCTGCGGCTCAACAGGCAGAGCGTCCTCAGACCCGTGTGTGTGTGTGTGTGTGTGTGTGTGCGCGCACACCATGGTGGGTGAGAGAAGGAAGCAGGTGGGGGACTCAGGCCTGGCGGTCTCAGCTGTTCCCAGGCAGTGAAGGAGAAATGCTGAGGTCAGGTACAGAAAGGATAAAAATATGCCCTTGCTGTCAGCAGGGTGGGTGTGCCAGGGCCTCAGGACACTCCTGGCACCACAGTCCCATGACCCAAGAGAGTCCCCTGGGCTGGAGAGCCAAGTGGGGGGAATCCCTGGACTCCTCCACCCCCCAGTGGCTCACTCAGAACACAGGTGCACGTGGCCAGCTCAGGTGTCTGCCCCCTGTGGGCAGAGCTGGCCGTGGCTGCAGGCGCAAAGCACCCTGGGTGCTCAGCATGTGCTGAATGGGCCCCCTGCCTGGGGAAGGGAGGGGCTGGCGGCATGGGGAGTGCAGCCATGTTGGGGAGCTCACCCACTCGGCAGGAAATGGAAGACTCAGCCTTCCCCCAGCTTCGTAGTCTGGACAGAGGGCCAGGCCCGGCTACCAGGGCGTCCCCTAGCCATGGCCCCTCCAGCACAGCTTGCTGCAAACTTCCTGCCTGGCCTGGGGAGGTGGGAGCTCTGTGTGTAATGGGGGAGGGTTCTGGCTAGATTGCACGCCACTCAGCAGGAGCAGGGACCTTCCACCTCCCTAGCACAGCCTGGGCGATGCTCTCCCTGAGCCAGCCCAGCCCTGGAACCCGCTGCTCTCCTGGGCACTGTGGGAGACCCTTCTCCTGTGCCTGGCAGCTGCTTGGCTCTCAGCAAGTGCAGGCTTGTGCCCATGTTGCCCAGCAGGGTCCTTGGCAGTCCTGGCCCGTGAGGGCATCTGTTTTCCAAAGCCCTGCAAGGGTCTCTCCCAAGCTCCCCCATGGGCTGAGGCAGCAGCTGGAGAGCTGAGTGGGGGTTGGGAAGGGAGAATGGCTGGTGCTGCCAGTGGGGACCCCAGTGTGCTGGTGGGCGGCCCTGTAACCAGCTTGTCCAGGGTTGGGCTGATGCTTTCTAGCCACTTCACCAGACGTGCCTGAGGAGAGGGCCCAGCCGAGGCAGCTCCTGCTGGGCTGGGACACGCCTTCCCCCAGGGTGCCCTCCTTCTGAAGACTTCTCCCGCTGCTGCAGCCAGGCGGCACGGTGTGGGGCCAGTGCTGCCAGTCCCCTGGGGCTCATCTGCACTGACATCCCACTGCTAACACCAGCGACACCCAAGGCTGACTCATGGCAGCAAGGGAATGGGGCTGGGGTCTGGACCCCCTGCTCAGGCCAGGCCTGGTGTCCAGTACAGCACATGGCTGTGTCAGCATGTGGTGCTGTGCAGTGACTGGCCCCCAAGGCCCTGTGCAGAGAGGGCAAGGAGGTGTCTGTCTGGTCGGCAGCTGGGATTTTCCAGCCCTCGACTCAGCTGGGCTCCTGGTGCCATGCCCTCTTATGCTCATGTTGCGCTGGATGTGAGGAAATATTTGGTCCTAATGCAGGGCCCATGAGCGTCCCAGCCCAGAGGAGCAGGAGTGGCTCCAGGCCGTGTATCACCACTTGTCTCCATGCCAGCATCCTGGAGCTGTGATGGGGTCACACGGGGGTGGAAGGGCATGGCAAGTGCTGTGCACCTGCTCCTGGCACCCTGCAGCTGGCAGGTGGAGTCTTCCCTGCCCATCCAGGCAGCTGAGGCGACAGGGTGTGGCTTTGGCCGCCTGCTCATGCACTGATGCTTCATCTCATTGCCACAGTGCCTTTCAGAGCCGCTTGTGCCTGCACCTGACTGCCCCACGGTCTCTGGGGCAGGGAGAGAGTGGGGCCTGCTTTAGCGGTGTCCGCTGAGCGGCGTGCCCCAGCTCTGGACGCTGAGGGGGGCTGACCCAGGGCCCTACTTTTGGGGATTTGTGTGACTGCAGCCTGGCTGGTTCTGGGTGCCCCTGTGCATGAGGCCTGGCTGCTCACCGGGCCCTGTGCAGGGCTGGGAGCAGAAGAAATGTTGCCGGCACTGAAGCAGGGTTAATGTCTCCCTGCCCCGGGCTGGGGATGAGGTAACGTCTCTGCCTGCTGCCGGAGGAAGAGGAATGGGCTCCGCGTAGCAGGAGAGGAGCGCTTCCTGGGGTCTGCTCAGGCACCTCCCGCCCAGACGCAGCCTAGGAAATGCCTGTGGTTTGCAGGTCTAAGGCGGAGCGAGTGACACATGGGCTGCGTTAGGGAAGGCTCTGACTCACTTCCCTGGCTCTCCCCAGGGACCCTGGTGTGCTAGTGCAATTCCTGCCCACGCTGGGGCCAGTTCCTTGGCCGGGGGCTTGGGCCCTTGCTGTGGGGCTGCACGGCGCCAGTGGGCCTGGGGGAGGGGAGTGTAAATACCAGGCGCCTGGTTTCTCCGGCAAGCCCTGCCCCCAACTTCTGCCCTGGGAGCTTGGGGCCCTGCAGCTGGCACCAGCTGGAGAAGGTGCGTGCCCCCTCCTGCCCTGGCCCTGCCTACAAGCCATGGGTGGTAGAGGAGGGGAGAACAGCCTGGCGGAAGCGGCTGGAAGCGACTGAGCCCCTAGAATTGGTTCTGTGGCCTGCCTGTTCCTTGTGTGGGGTGGGTGATGAGTGCTGCCCTGGCCTGCCTAGCAAACTCCCCTCCTCGTGTCAGCAGGTGGCGCTGGGAGCTAGCAGCGGAGCCAGGAGCGGCTCCCGCAGGGGAAGGGGCAGCCTGCCCCGGGGTCACTGGTGCAGGCGATGCCTCAGCCCCTCTGCGGCCCCCCTCCCCTGCTGTGTGCCAGAGCTAATGCAGACCTGGAACTGCGCTGCCTCGCTGTCCCTGCGAGCGGAGCCGGCACGAGGGCCGCTAGTGCTTCTCTCCCTGCCCCTCCACTTGTTCCTGAACCTCAAAGGCACGGACACTGGGGCCTGGCTTTTCCTGTGGGTAGCTGGGGTCTCACCCACAGGGTGCAGCTCACATCTGCACTGGGTTGTGTACACCCTCCCCCAAACCGACCAGCTGAACCCAGGCATTGCAGATGTGGCTCGTTCTGTCCGTCTGAGGTCTCTGGGTCAGACAACATCCTGCAGCCTTAAACCCCTCACACTGGGGGAGGGGAGGGGGGGGGGTCATTGTACTCGTGTTCCAGAGGATGGATGGTTTCGTGAACGGTGACTTGCAAAGGGGTCTTAAAGCCCCCAGGGTTGTGCTGCAAACATGTCGTCAGTGCAGCGAGTGCCTGGATCTATGCTTGCTGTGAGGCCGCATGCGGCTGCCGGAGCTGGAACTTGCAGCTATTTCCAGGGGAGGATCAAGGCCTGCTAGCGGAGATGCTCAGAGCAGTGGGAGCACAGACTTCAGAGCTGCCTTGGCGCTCCATTTCCAACCCGGGTCCCCGGGAGCGAGGCTGCTACAGCCGCTCTGCTGCCTTCTCAGGAGTGCGGAGCTCAGTGCAGAAAGCTCATCTCCCTGGGCCTCAATTCCAGATCCCAAGCAGAAGCTGGATCCAGGGCCCTGCCTTGCCCAATCCCAGCGCTGCAGCTTCCCTAGCGATAGGCGTTGCCCTGCTCAGTGTGGAGGTTACATTGGGGGCAGGGGAAGGAGCCCACTCAAGACCTACGCATTGGCAGTGAGGGCAGGGCCAGGAGACCAAGCGGCACTGCACCTGATTGGGGGGTGTTGGCAGATGGGCATCTCCCAACATGGTGCAGGGGGCCTGGGGCTGGCTGCGAAAGCAGAGGTCTCCCCAGCCCAGATGCATACCTGTTACCCAGCCCCAAAACATCCCCAGCTCTGGGGTGGAAGACAGCAGCTGTTAGTGCACAGCCAGGCCCCCGTAGGCCTGGAGATTGAGCGTTGTGTCCAGCTGGAGGAGTTTGGGGAGGCTGGCCCTGGCTGGCTCTGGAGTTGACCGCCCTCCTCTGGCGCCGTAGGGCCCCTGGCTCAGGCATGCTCAGGGTTGGCCGTAGCTGAAAGACAGGACTCCTGAAGCACAGCGCCCCTAGCACCCGCGAGGGCTGCGTGTGGCTCCGCTCTCCTCTCCCTGCAGCACAGCATCCCTGAGCGCCTGTGTCCTTAGCAGCCTCCTTCCTGCACTGTCCTGCTCCAGGGAGCGGCTCTGGCTCGTCGGCCCAGGGCAGGGTGTGCGGGGGCTCTTGCCACCCCTCCCAGCAGCTCCCATCATTCCTGGGGAGCTTGTGCCATGTGATTGACTCTCTGGCTCTGCCCTGCAGCTGACCCCTGGTGGCAAGGCAGCCCAGGCCGGCGTGGGAGTGGGCGACTGGGTGCTGAGCATCGATGGGGAGAACACCAGTAGCATGACTCACATCGAAGCGCAGAACAAGATCCGCGCCTGCGGAGACCAGCTTTCCCTCAGCCTGAGCAGGTAACGCCCGCGCTGCTCTCACCTGGGACAGGGACCCCCACCGCCCACGCATGGTCCCCTCCTTAGCCCCTGCACCCAGTTCTGATGCCCATGCCCCACTCTGCGGGGGTGGGCTGCCTCTCTCGGAGCCTACAGGTTTGTGTCCCGCCCCACAGAGCCCATAAAGAGCCAGTGCTTGGTTTGGCAGAGGGGTCAGCCTGGGCCTGGGTCGGGGAGGGGGAAGAGCCCAGCCTGAGACTGGTCTGGTCTATTCACCTCAGCTCCATCTGTTCTCCTGCAGAGTCCAGTGCCTCCTGGGGAAGCCACACAAGGTATGTGTTGCTCTTATCCCTGAGGCTGTGGGCACCAGCTCTGCCCCGTGGCGCGTAGGGCTGGGGGTCCCCGTTGCTTTGACAGCAGAACTTGTCTCTGGGCCCTTTTCTGGAGGCTCCGGAATTAGCCCCGGGCTGCTCTTGGAGGGCACCAGGTGCTGGGGTTGGCTGTGGGTCAGGGCAGATGCCAGTCACTCCACCCCAGAATGTAGGAGGGGTGTAACGGGGCACTGTGACCTCTGACCCCTCCCTCCAAAGGGCCCTCTGCAGCAGGCCAATGGGCGTCCCACAGGGAGCTAGGTGCCTGGCCATGTGCCTCCCAGCGCAGATCCTGCTGGGAACCAGGGCTTTGCTCTCCTCTTGCAGGGGCTTGCTCAAAGCGCTGTCCCGATGAGGGGCCGGGCAGGGCTGGACCCAGCCGTGAAGCTGCCTCCCGCCTTCAGTATTTGTTCACTGCCTTGGAGTTTCCCTGGCACTGGGCTGTGGGGCAGGCCACCGGTGCATGGTGTGGGCAGGTGGTATAGTGCAGCGCATCAGCAGTCTGCCTGTCCCGCGGGGCCTGCATCCGAGTGCGTTTGGCCAGGTGTCTCCTCTTTGTCACTAATTCGCTATTGTGCCCCCAGACCTAGTTCCTGGGCTCACGGCTTCCCTTCATCCCCAGTGCATGGTGCTGTTCTGTGCCTCTTGCTGGGCGCCAGGCGGGCACACAGCAGCACCGGCTAGAGCCCAGAAGCAGCTGGTGGCTGAGTGCCACCCCAGAGTGCTCTCCAAGGTGCCAGAGGCTGTCCCCCTTGGACACCCCTGTGAGGCCAGGCATGGGCCTGGCTTTCTAGCATGGCTGCCCCACGGGATGCCCCTGCTCTTGGGCACTGCCTGGGGCTGCCAGGTGCTCCTCGCATGCTGCCTGATGTGCAAGCCTGTGTGCTGTGTTTTGTCTCCCGCTCAGGAGTCATTCCCCTGCTCTCAGCCCCTGAAATATAACTTCGTTCCTAGCACCACCCTCAACAAAACGGCCCGGCCCTTCGGGGCCAGCCCCGCGCCCAACTCGCTGCCTGGGCTGGTGACGAAACCTGTGATGTACACGGCCCCCGCCTGCACCCCCCAGCACAATGGGTATGTTGCTGTCCGTCGCACTGCACTGCACTGCAGACTGGCCGGCTGGGCTTGGACCCTGCTCTGCAGGCTGGGCCTGGTCGCTCCCACCCTGAGGCCCTGCCTGCGTCTGGCCGTGCTGCACCCTGCATGTTGGATGTCTCGTGTGCATGCCATGAGCCCCCGCGAGCCAGGGCCGCTCGCTGGCAGGGCCTGGGCTGGCGCCCCCTCTGGGGAGCAGCACCCACAGCTGTGGGCAGCATCTACATGGCTGGTGTTTCAGTGACCCCTGGTGGCTGGTTCTGGTATTGCAGTGCAAAAAAGCAGCCGCCCCCTTCGCACACCTTGTTCACACAGACTGGCCGACCTGCCTCGCTGGCCCTGCGCTCCTCCCTCTCCCCTTCCTGCCGTGGGCAGGGTTCTCTTCCGGGGGGGCCATGGGGCTCTGGCTGCCAGACTCTCCGAGGAGCCAGGGCATGTTCAGCAAAGCCCAGCCCGGAGCCTTCCTGCCAGCTGACTGGCTATTGCTGGTGCCCCCTGCGCCTGGCCAGCTGCTGGCAGGGTACCTGGGACTCCCTGGGCGTGGGGTCTCCTGCCCATCTGGGGAGGGCAGTGGCTGTGCAGCGGAGCCGCAGGCTGTTCTGTTGAGCTGGGGGCTCCTTTTGTGCCGCCTCCACCAGCATGTGCCTGGCCTGGCTCTCCTGGGCATGCTGAGGGTGGGGGTGCAGCAGGGTCCCCCAGGGTTGAGCTGAGCTGCCAGAGCTGGTGTGGGGAGCTCTGGAGTTCCTGCGTGTGGCCTGTGAACTGGTGCCCTCATCTCTGCACTGTGCAGTTACTTCGCCAAGCTGGGATCCTTTCCCATGCTCCACCGGGAGCCTGGCGCTTGGCTGCAGAGAGCTGGGCGGCCAGCCACTCCCGAGCCCTGACCCAGCCCTTGAACTTGGTGCCCCAGAGAACTCCTGGCCAGGTCTGGTCTGTAGTGGGCGATGTGCTGTGATCTGTTGCTGACTCTGTGCTCTGGGGCACCCTCTCCTCCGGCCCGGCAGATGGCAGCCAGAGCCGCCCAGGTGGGGTCCGAGTGAGAGCTGGGTGTAGGGAGGGTTGGGCCTTTCTCAGTCTCGCTCTGCAAGTGTCTCTTGTGGGTGCAGTGGGGCTAATCTCTCTCTTCCCTCCTTTCCTCTTCTCCTTCTCTCCTCCCGCAACTCTGCAGGTGCAGAACCTTGACAAGTCAGTAAGCCTTTTTCCTCTTCTTCGCATCCCCTCCCCTCCCCTCCCCTGGGTCGCTGGGCTGGTACCCACCCCCCTCTGGTCTCTAGAACCATCCTGCTGCCTTGCTGCGTCCCTCCTCTCTGCTCAGGGAGGGGCGGGATCTATAGCCTCTGTGTCCCCTAGAGCCGACCCCTGTATCTGTCTGGTCCCCTCCCCAAGTGCCATGCTGGGGTATGGCTGGGTGGTGGCCCTGTGCAGAGGGAGGGTTCCTGGCCAAGGGGGTCGCTCCTTGCCCAAGGGAGGAGATTTCAGGACTAGTCTGATTGCTGGGGGCAGCAAATTAAAGCTAAGGGGAACGTCCCGACCCAGCACTCACAGGCTGCCTGGGCTTGGCCTGCTGCCCCTCCCTGGCTTTGACCTTGAGTGGGGAGCAGCTGCCTCCTCTGGGAGCATGGTGCTGACTCCGGGCAGGGCCTGGCTGGGGCAGTTACAGGGGAGGGGGCTTCAGGACCCTGATGCTGCTCCACCCCTCCGCAGCCAGGGTGGGTGTCTGCAGAGAGCAGCTGGGTGCCACTGGCCAGTGGCTGTGGGAGGGTGTCCCTTGCCCAGGCACGTGCTTTGTAACCTGCGGGCGGTGGAGCAGCCTGTGCCTGGAGAGGTCATGGCCCAGCACGGGGCTCCACTGCCAGCAGAGACCTTTCCCTGGTCGCGCGGGGGCTGGGATTTTCACCTGACTCACCCGTGCTCTTGTTGCCTCTCTCCTGGCCCCAGGGTCGGTGCCGGCCCCAGCCCGCCAGAGGGGAAAACTCAGCCCCGTGGAGACCTGGGCCGCTCCTACATGGAGGATGAGTAAGGGGGGGGGATTCAGTGTCTGTTGCTCATTGGCATGTTGTGCTGTTGTTACTGGGCCCCAAGCTGCTTGCCCCTGAGGGAAGGTGTCAGCGGGCTGCCCAGCCAGTGAGGGGACACCCGTGGGAAAGGGGGGGGTGTTTGGCTTGTGTCCGAGTGATGTGCCCCATGGGGGTGGGCTGCCCAGACCCTGTTGTGGGTTGCAGCGGGGGAGGGGGACTCGGGGTTCTGCTGGCAGGCCCTCCCTGTCCTGTGTGACGAGGGGTGTGCTGTGCGTGCTGGCTGAGCGCCCTGCCCTTCTGTCTGCGCACAGGCACGCTCTGCGGCTAATGAGCCCCCCCACCGGCCTGCCCAATGACTCCAGCAAAAAGCGGCTGATTGAGGATACGGAGGACTGGCAGCCTCGCACTGGCACAACCCAGTCCCGCTCCTTCCGCATCCTGGCCCACCTCACGGGCACAGAGTTCAGTAAGTGCCTCTCTCTGGGTCCTGGCACGTGCAGGCTGATGGGACGCCAGGCCTGGGTTGGCTGGCAGCCCTGCTCTGACGGTACTGGTCAGGCCTGGCACCCTTCTTTGCCGGGGGCTGGCTGGTGGCCTGCAGGGTACGGAGTAGCCAGTCTCCCTGCAGAGCTGAGTGCAGACGGCTCTTGGGCAGCTGTGTGGGATGGGCTGCCCTTGGCGGGCAGGCTCCCAGCAGTGTGCCAGGTGCCTTCCACCTGTGGGCCTGCCCCAGACCAGTCCCTTCTGCTCACGGAGTCTGGCTGACTCCGGACGCCTTGTATTGCCTCAGTCTAGCCCTCGCCGCGCAGCTGGCTGGGGCAGGAGTGGCCCGCGGGCTCGGCGGGAGCCGGTTGTTGGGGCCGAGGGTTGGTGCTTGTGGGCTTCCTCCTTTCCCCCTCGGGGGGTGTCCAACCATGACTTTTTCTCTCTGTCTCTTCTCTCCTGCTGATCTCAGTGCAAGATCCAGATGATGAGCATGTTAGAAAAGCCAGGTAAGGGCTGTGGGCACTCGGGTTACCGCATGGGTGCCTGTCTGGGGGTTGTCCCTGCTGCCCTGGACTCTGCCACTCCTGGCCTTGAGGCTAAACCGGCCTCCCTGCTGGCAGGCCCCTCGCCTGGCCTTGCCATCTCACAGGCCCTCGTGCTGCCTTTAGCCTCTGCTGGAGGGGCTGGTCAGGGGTCCTGGCGCTCACCCTCCCCGGTTGGTTGCATGATGTCATGTGGCTGCTCTTTCTTGTCCTGATTTCTGCCAATGGAGCCTCTTCCTCCCTCTGGCGCTAACCTCTCCTCCTCCCTCCCCATCTCTGTCCGTCTCCTTCCTTCCTTCCTTCCTTCCTTCCTTTCAGAGAAAAGTTTGTCACTGAGCTTCAGAGCCCTCGCTACACTGGCCTGCGTGACTGGCACCACCAGCGCTCCGCCGTCTCTCTGAACGTGAAATCCTGAGCAGGGCCTGGCCTTGTGCTGGGAGCCTGCACCTCTCCGCCCCGGGCTGGCGCGGCCACATCACATGCCTTCGCCTGGGGAGGGGCATCCGCCTGGCTCCTAAATGTACCCAGCTGGGAGCGCCTTGCGCCGTGCGGTCTGCTCTGCCTGGGCTGGGGAGGGGCCGGCCCTGGGCAGGACGCATTGTGTGGCACAGAGCAGGCTGGGATGGAGGCTGTCAGCACCGGGGCCCTGGCCTCAGACCCCAGGGGAGCAGAGGGACTCCACTGCTGCGTGTCCTTGCCCTGTCACGCTAGGCTTCCCCAAGAGCCCGAGCCCCCTGGGGTGGCTACACTGCCCTCGCTCTGCCCAGGGTAAACCTTGGGCAAGTGGGAGCTGGGACTGCTGCCTGGAGTGTCCTCTGGGCCTGTGTTCCCACGGGGGGCCTGTGGCACTGGGGCCAGCTGCGTCCTGTTCCCATGAGCTGCCCAGGCTGAGTGGCTGCTGTTCCCAGATGCCCTCTGGCTGTGCTCATCATGTGAGGGCCTGGCTTGCACCCAGCGCCTCCTTGGGGCTGTCTCCTCACTTACCCAGACTAGACGGGGACCTTAGGCTGGAGGGTGGGTCTAGACTGAACGTCCACCTGCCTGGCCCAGCAGAGGTGACCTGGTGGGTGGCGAAGGGCTCTGGGAGCGAGCCCAGGCTGCTGGGTTCTGTGCCGTGGGGCGGGCCCCTCTGAGCCCATTGCCTTGCCGTGATGGGCTCGCAGTGCGCCCCAAGGGCTGATGTGATGTGACCTGTGCTCTCGGTGGGCCGAGTGTTGGGGAGTGGGCTGGGCCCTGGGTCTGCCCAGCACAGCTGCTCGCTGGACCCTTCTGTAGCACAATAAAGATTCCTGTTCTCGTAACTGGCTCCTAGTCGTCATTGCTGGCAGGAGGGGCTGGCTAGGGCACTAGCTGCCAGCTCTGCAGGGGTGCCTGGGGCGCCCTGGGCCCCGTAGCCCAGCATAATGCTGCGCCCCTCGGGCTGAGCTGCAGCAGCTGGGGGGAACCTCTCTGCTCTGCTGTGTGTAGAGCCTGGCAGCCTTTCCCCCTTGTGCTGGCCCCTGCCCTGCAGCAAGCCCAGCTCCAGTGCACCCTGGGGCTTGCGTAGGGTGCTGTCTATTGACTCCTCTGGGCTGCTGGCACAGGTCCCCAACGGGTGGGTATTGCTGCAGGCTCCTGCCCGTTCCACTCCTGGTCTGTCAGGCACAGCTCCAGCAGCCAGTGCTGTCTCAGGGAGGGGCTGTACCCAGCTGTCCCTGGGACTGGGGATTGGCCCGTGTGAGCTGGCTGGAGAGGCTCTGGGGTGAGAGATGAGGAAGGGGTGGCTTTGAGTCCCCCCCCCAACCCCGTCCTGTCACCTTCCCCAGGCCTAGGCTGAGAGCTGCAAGGCCGAACTGTCGTGAGCTGGGGGCAAGCTCTCTGCCCCCCTGCTGCCTGGAAGGGCCTGTGCGTTCTGCTCATCCCTTGCTGGAGGCGGGCTGGTGCCTCCCCTCACCGCTAGCATCTCCCAGCAGGGCTGCAGCCAGCGGCTCTGTCCTGTCAGGCATCCTGCCAGCTGGGTGCCTGGGGTCAGGGGCTGTCAGGCCCCTCATGGGACCCCTTCCCTGTGGACAGGGGATGCTGGGTTTGACAACAGGGAGGAAGAAACCAGAGTCCAAGAAAAACCCCTTGTGGGGGGGCTGGGCCTAATGGGTAGAGCAGTGAGTGGGCAGCTTCTCCAGACCCATTGGAGCAGCAGGGCCTGTGAGGAGGTGGGACTGGGCCATGTTACCCCAGGGTGAGTGAGTGTAATGGGGGTGCGGGGGGTTTGATCCCCACAGTGAGCGGGCAGCTTGTCCTCTCACAACCGTGGGGACTCCGCGTGGCTGCTCAGGGCACCAGCCTTCCAGGGTCAGTTCTGCAGGCTCCGCGCCTTGGGCCTGAGAGCAGGAAGTGCCCCCAGCTCTGCGATATTGGGTCACTGATGAACCAAACCAGCCACCAGGGGGTGCTGCCGCACAGCAGGAGGGGGGTGGCTGCCTGGCCTGAGCCCCTGTTGGGGTAGGAGAGCGCCAGGCCCTGGGCTCCTGCCCCATCCAGGCCTGTGGGTGGGGGGTGGCCAGCTGGCAACTGCATTAATTGGCTGTTCTGTAGCCAGGTGTCTGGGCTGGACCCGTCTGCGGTGGCAGCGCTGAAGGTGGAGCCGGATCACGGTAAGCAGGGGGTGCTGGGCATGGGCACTGCATGGCGCCGTCTCTTGTGGCTGTGGGGCAGAGTGAGGCCTTGGTGCCCGCAGTGGGTGCATGCTGGGGGCCTGGGCCAGGCTAGGGGCTGATCCTTCTCTGCCAGCCCCTTGAGGGGTGGGGCTGAGGTGCCTGTTTCCACGCTCTGCCCCAGGCTAGCCGAGCGCAGCTGTATCACCTGGGAATCCCTCTGGGGACTGTTACAGGTTCTGCAGCTCCCAGGCCCCCAGCTGCTCCGGGCCCTGCCAGCCGCCCCCCTTGGGCTGTGGATCCTTCCTTTGCGGAGCGCTATGCGCCCGACAAGACCAGCACCGTCCTGAGCAAACACAGCCAGCCGGCCATGCCCACGCCCATGCAGAACCGCAGCTCCATCGTCCAGGCCGCGCAGCAGCCCCCCGAGGGCACCAGCAAAACCCCCATCTGCTACCAGTGCAACAAGGTCATCAGGTGAGTGGCGCGGGGCCCCTCCGCCATGTGCAGGGGCTGCTGGTCACCTGGGAGTGGCCTGGCAGCTCCCGCTTCCTGAGGGAGGAATGAACCCGCTGGGCTGGGCTGTGGGGGCAGCTGGCTCACGTAGCGCTCAGCCATGCTCACTCCTCCCCTGCCCCGCCTCTAGGGGACGCTACCTGGTGGCCCTGGGGCATTACTACCACCCGGAGGAGTTCATGTGCTGCCAGTGCAGGAAGGTGCTGGACGAGGGGGGCTTCTTTGAGGAGAAGGGCTCGGTCTTCTGCCCCAAGTGCTACGACATGCGCTACGCCCCCAGCTGTGCCAAGTGCAAGAAGAAGATTGGTGGGGTGAGTCTGTCTGCGTGGAGCCCTCCCCCCTTGGGGCCCCGGTCCGGTCCCCGGCAGCTAGGGGGCGTCCAGCAGCCTGGGCGGGCGTGGGGCCCTGGGGCAGGGTGGGGGCCGGGCCCTGGGGCAGGGGCCAGGCAGTGCGGGGTCTGGGGCAGCCCAGCGGGGGGCAGGACTGGCGGGGGCCGGGCGGTGCGGTGCTCTGGGGCGGGGGCTGGGTGTGTGTGTGTGGGGGGGGGGCTCGGGGGCAGCCCAGCGGGAGGTCTGGCTGATGGTGCCGTTCCCTTTCCCAGGAGATCATGCATGCGCTGAAGATGACGTGGCACGTGCAGTGCTTCACCTGCGCTGCCTGCAGAACTCCCATCCGCAACCGCGCCTTCTACATGGAGGAGGGGCAGCCGTACTGCGAGAGAGGTAGGGGGTGTCCTGGCCCCTTCCCCACCCCAGGGATGCTGGGATTGCTGCTGCCCCATGTCACCCTGTGGCCTCGCAGTGGGGCTGAGAGCTGTGTGGGGTAGGGAGAGGAAGCTGTGGTCACTAGTTACTGCTCCAGCCCCTGGGCCGCCCCCAGCATTGCATGGGACTCTCCGAGCAGCTGCTGCCAGGGCAGAGAGCAGGAGCCAAGCAGGCAGCACCTGAGCCAGACGCCCTGCGGTTCCCGCCCTGGCGAAGGGAGGGGCATCCTCCCCTCTACAGGGAGCCCCCCCATCCTCCGCTGCCGGCCTGGCCTCAGTGATGGCTGCTGGGCAGTGCCAGAACTCCCAGGTTGCCATGG